GCTGATTCTGCGACTTTCCGCAACGCCTTAATGCAATTGAGCTTCGTCAAGGCTGAAATCGTATACAATTGTACACAAGAAAAAATGTAAACTTTTTTTTAATCTGCTTGCTGAATAACAAATATCTTTAAAATTTAGTTCGACTTTTTCAGTAAATATTATTTATATATTTTTATTTTAAAAACATCAATGTATTAAAAAGATTTATAATTTCTCAAAACTTTTTAAGCTCGTGTTGGTACCATTTTCTTATACTCCTTTAATAAAATCTGAATTGTTAACAATTTTCATATATAAAAAACCGAATTGTTTCACAAATTGTAGTAAAATTTTTTTGCAGTGTACCCGTATCTCTGGCCATGTCCATCGACCTCGGCAGGGGAGCATTTGACAAGCGAGTCGTGTTACCAGCGCCTTATGCCAGTCTCTGTGTGCTGCATTATCCCGGCTTTATCCGAGCCACTCGCTCGGAGACACATATGCTGATGGGGGGCGGAGGAACTAGAAGGCGAAAGTCGGGAAAAGCCGGGGAAAATCGGGGAAAGTCGGTGAGCCTTCGCCGGCCTTGTCACTTATGCAAAATCCCCTAATGGAGGCATGCCGAGGTGTAAGAAAAACAACAAAAAACGGAAAACTCGAGCATGGCAATGCAGGCTGTATGCTGTTGCTTTTCTCTTCGTTTTTGTTTTTTTTTTGCTCGTTTTCTTGCCATTACATACAAATGCTCTTTAAGCGGATTTCGTAGCGTTTTACTTGTTTGCCATTGTTAAACTGAGTGCTCAGCATAAGGCTGCGACTCCCAGACGACCGCTGGACCAGCAGGATACTCGTTGAAGCTGAGCTGGTCCTTGCAGGCTGTCCGATGGCTTCGGATCCTTTGGGGATGTTTGGTCCAAAGGTAGGAGACAGTATGTTTTATTTCTAAGGAGTATGTGCCATTTTTAAAGGTTAAAAGAAAATAAATAAATATTCAAAATAAAATGTAACTAAGTAAACAAGTATCATAATATATCATTGTTTTCATTTATAAAAAATAGTAAACGCTTGTTTTGTTAATTTACATATTATGTACAAAACTCACAATTTTATCAAAGTAAAAATACTACCAGCATATTTCTTTTTTTTTTCATTTGTAGAAAGTGGCTTAAATATATATTAAATTAAGATGAATATTATTATATGAACAAAACTTTTGTATATACTTACAAATAATAATAAAAATACATTTCTAGGTAATTTGTCAAGTCGATCACGATATAAAGTATAATTCCTAATTTGATACAAAAATCAGAACTCAACCAAAAGTGCTTAGGCTTATTTTTCTTAACTTTTTCTTTTGGTTTTTTTGGTAAAAAAAAAAACAGCAGGGAACAGTTGGCAAACCCTTTTAATTATGCCAGAACATGCGCAAATATTTTCCTTATGGCCGCTTCACTCTTCGCTGCTTAACATTAATTAATTCTCGGCTTACGGAAAGCTCAAATGGGTATGTGTATATGTTTGGCCTGATGACTTGGGACCGGAAAAGTCAACTTTGGCTCGCCAATTTTTAATTAGATTATACAAAGTATATTTGCCTAATTTGATAAGAAAGTTTAACACAATTACTTTAGCTAAAAAAATTCGGACAAATATTTAAAAATGATTAAATTAAATAAAAATAATATTTTTTCTTTCTAAAAATTTAAAAATGCATATAAAAGCGAAGCATACTATTTATATTTCTTAAACAACAAATTTGAAAAAGAATTCACTTAACACACATGTGACTTTCAAAGGCTTCTAGAAACCTTTATAAAAGTATATGTACCGATTATTTTCAGATGCGCTCGTAATATTATTATTTAAGGTCCCTCTTACACTTTAGTGCTATTACATATGCTAAGAGCTGGGGATTTGTGCCAACCAGCCTATGAATTATTCCCCTTATTGATCCTTATGCTCGTCCATCAGTAAGTGCCGCAAATCAGGCGTCAACTTCCACCCAGTGAAATCAATCAAGTATAAGGCGCAGACGTTTGCGATTTTACGAGGCGAACGGCATCAAAAACAGCGACAAAAAGTAAGAAAAGAAATGTCATAAAACTTATTTACTTAGCACCAGCAAAATGGTCCAAGCAGAAGTCGGGATTGGTCTTAAACAAAAGGCAACAAGAAAGCAGCAGCATAAAACGATGTAGGAGCACAGAAACAAGCGGAATGCGAAGTCAAGTCAACGAAAATGGGGCTGTCAATAATCATAAAATTACAGGGGGGAGAAAAAAATAAGGGAATTTACCAAAATCGGGGAAAAGGAAGCGAATGAGAAATAAGATGCCAGGCGATGCGATGCGATGCGATGAGCTGCTACTTGAATTTGTTAAATTGCCTGTGAATGACAAATATTGTGTTATAATTTCTATTAAGAAAATTAAGCACCGGCACCACATTGCGTATGCGCATTATTTAATTTGTCTAAGTGTTGTCGCAACAAAGTAGTCGTTACTTGGATTTAAAAAGATACAGCCAAAGTGGGGAGATCTTAAAGGCCTCGAATGGCGGCGGCATCTAATGGACAGTGACATAAGACACAGACTGACAGCGAAGTCCAGACAGCTTTCAGCCCAATCCCTCTAACGTGTTTGGACTTGGCCAAGAAGCGTAGACAATGGCCGAAAGCGACAAAGCGACTTCAAGTGGGTGGCAAGACATTAAAATGGCATGGCTTCTTTAATTTTGTAGCCCAGCCCACTTTCCCCTCCGTAAAAGCTTTATGAATTTTGTATGCATCCAAAAAGTGAGCTACATTAAATTGAAGTTTTTTTTGGGACGACATCAAAATGACAATGCTAGGTCTTGACAGAATATTGTTGCCGACCCGCAGGCTTAAGCTTCAAAAATAATCGATTTGCTATCTGATAAAAACTTAAGTGACAATAAATGTTAAGAATAGTTCGTGTCATACATTATTTAACTGTCTCAAGCTAAGACAGCAAAGTGCTTAATCAAATAAAAAGTATTCCAAATTTGTCATTTGAGACCAGAAGCAATATTTTGTTAGAGCAAATTCTTCAGTTGTCAATGCTCGAATATCTTTAAGAATGGTTTGTTTATTAAACTTTAAACTTAAATAGCACAAGAAAACGGTTGAATGCTAAGCTATGGCTTGATTTAAAGAATACATTTTAAGTGAAATTTTGTATTTCTATAAGTTGTATTTACTGACTCCAATTGTTAATTAAAATCATAACTTCCCACATGCTGCAATAGGGAATAATATAAAATCAAGGGTCCGTCTTGAATGGCGCAAAAGTTCGTTGGCTGGTCGTGTCCACAAGTCATCAAAATGAGCAGCGGATACTTAATCTGATTTACTTGCCTCAGTCAAGTCAGAGCAAACAGGATAGCAGCTGAGGCCTTGGCGAAAACCGAGCAAACAAGCGTCTTCATAAAAAGCGACATCTCGACCGGGCCAAGAGTGGATAAATGGGGGGCTAAGGGGACTGAATTGGTAAGGGAAGAGGGACCCAGGACTTTGACTGCCATGGGCTTCTCATAGCTGGCGTTCTGCGGCGTTGTGTACATCATAAAAGAGCGATAAGATAACCATGCCCAGCGACAAGCGAACGTGGCACTTGACTGCTCCAAGCCCTGGGTGCCCGACATCCTCTAACCACCCCATAAACCGCCTTCTGATACCCTATATTTATTTACAGGATTGAAGTTAAGACTTGATTTCTTAATATTTAAAAAAATAAAACATAAATATTCTGTTCTCATGTCAATGAGAATTGATAGTTTTCACGACTTACCAAAATATATATAAAGACAATATAAGCAGTACTATAAAAATAATACAAATTTTAATTTATAACTCTTTAATATTGGTTTTAGTTCATACAAAAAAAAAACATTTATATATTTCTAGATGTTCAATTCTATAATGTTGATAGTTTTCACGATTAACAAAAATGAAGACTTAATTTAGTCTTAAGTATTGATTAACACTTTTTAGAGTAATAAAAAATCCTTTTTAGATAAATCTACGATACTTGATAACTTGATAACTTGAGGTACTTAAGATACAATTTGAAATATTTTCTATATATTCTTTTGTCCCAAAATTTTATATAATTCGCATCACCAACGTTTGATAGAATCTTCAGCATTTTCAAGGGTATTCCCAGCTTAGTGAAAATTTCTCTCTTTGCTCTATATTTGATTTTCATTGCCCGACGGCCTTGGTCCACCTCCAAGCAAACAACAACTAAATCCTCACTTTCTTCCCCGTCCACTTCGTTTGGTTTCTGAGCTGCCAGCATCTTTAGTGTGATTTATTTTGGCAGAGCACAATGTACTTTTATTTCAAATAAATCATAAATTTCGACGCACTCCCTTGCAGTGCACAATTGTTGTAGATGTTGCTACAGCTTCAGAATCTGCCACTCCCCCAAATAATGTTTCCCCTTCTCCATGATTTTCCGTTTTTTTTTTTTTTTTTTGTATAGCATTTTCAAGCCTGAGCTGCGATGTATTCTGGCCTATGGCCGCGCTCTGCGACAGCAATTGAGTTATCCGAAAAGGCTATCTAAACAGAAAGGAAAATGTATATGCGTTCAGATATTTCATATTATATTTATTATATTTTTATGGCACTTGGGCATTTGGGCTCAGTCGACCGCCGTTTTGTTTGTCGTCTTGCAAAATGTAAAACGGATCTCGTCCCTCTGCAAGGCCGCAGGGAGAATTATGAGCTAAACGCGGCACGATTTGCTAGATGGGTGTGGAATATATGGTTCCTCCACTCAAAGAACTGGCCAAGTCGAGCGGGAAACACATGATTTGTGGCGCTTTTTGTAAAGCCAGCAAGTCAAGTGAGATTTAGTTCGTTGTGTTATGGCCTTTAAGTTTGATTAAAAGCAAAACACTTAGTTTTGTTGACTGAAATTACTTTCTTAAAATTAATAAAATAAATTATCATGTTTACATTCCAAAATTTAAGGACACGGAATATTCCCATATAAATTTAACTAACATTTCTTTATTAAATTTATCACAATTCTTTCTAGCGTTTCTACTAGCTCTCCAACAGTTGGAAAATCACTCAAATGCGTGTGACTTCCTTTTCCTTATTGACTTCATCGATTTGAACTTGAATAGGCGTACGATATGCACTCTGAACCATCATGGACACCAGAACCATTTCTACCAAGATCAGGATGTTGATGATAGCTAAAAGAGCGAAAAATTTAGATTAACTTATAAGCTTATAAAGTTACTCAAAGAAAAAAACATAAGTTTATTTTTTTTAAAGAGATTTCGAAATCGTCTATACCTTATTTTATGGTCTAGATGTTTGGTCTAGTAATTTCAAAATTTGCAGATGTAAAAATTATTTTTAATTTCTAAAAATAAAATATATTGAGGTACTCACTTTGCTTGTAAATGGTGTGATTGATGGGATACTCCCCGCCCATTTTGATACCATCTAGCTGATCGTACAAAACCAGGTACTGTAGTTTGCAAAGCATTACCACCAACTGGAGGCAAAACATTTTCTTCCTTAGCTGATAGTCCCCACGAAGCTTTGTGATCATTCGCACCGTGATTTGAAGGGACCAAGCGCTATCATTTAACCATTTAATTTAGAATTTGTATAAAAAATTTGTAAAATAAATAAAGTAAAATCAAATATTTACCCCAGGACAATCGAGCAGACGATGAAGGGGATGAAGAAGTACATGACCTGGTGGTACAGCTGAATGTCGCGGTAGTACAGGATGTTCATGACCAGCATGATGGATCCCTGCCAGAAGGGCATTTGCCAGACCTACAAATTAAAGATGTTTTCTAGTACAATATTTCTGTTTAAAGCCTATTTCCAGACTTACCATATATCTGGAGATGCAGAGCTTGGCCTTTGTGGGAATTACCATTGGCAGGCAGACGCAGCAGCAACAACAGGGTGGGGTATTAAGTTGCACCGCCTCCCCGCCCGTCTCCTTCACGTAATTCTGCTCCGAGTTAACGTAACGGAAGAGGAGGGTACGGAACACGGGTCCGCCCACCATGAACATCACGTGCATCACCGTGTGGCAGATGAACCAGGAGTAGGGCACCAAAATGGTGACCAAAGCAGCCACCGAGATAATCGGATACAGACCGACCATTATAATCGAGGGCCTCAGCAGCGCCTTGTTCAGGTGACGACGCAGCCGGGAAACTGTCGTCGAGAAGATGCAGATGTTGAGGATGGTCAGCAGACTGGCTATGAAGATGGCCAGGCTGAGGAAGGCAGTCATGTCTGTAAGTGAGTTCGCAAAAAATCCAATTAGTCGGGAGAGCAGGATTTGCTTTCAATCAAAAAGGAAAGGTGGTTATTGTGGGGCCTAATTGTGGTATCCCAGGATACTTTAACTAACTTACATTTTTAAAAGGGGTTTGTGCGCCTGCAGTATTCCCTTGGATTTCATTATTGAAATTTAAATTATTTTTTGATTTTATTAGCTGTGCTCGGAGTTCAGCGATTTTGTATTACTGACTTGCGGAAAGCTTGACTTATATATTTTTGGGACAATGTTTTCATATCTATAAAATCTAGAAAAAATAATGGTCAAGGCTTCCTGAGATTTCTCATTAGAAAAAAAGAAAAAAAATTACCTTACACTTTTTTAAATCTTCAAATGTCTTTTCTGTTTGTTCTCGTGTCCTTCTGGACACCCTTTAATGTCGATTATTCTAAAGTTTCTATATATAGCAATCTTTAACAGTTGACAACAAAGTTAATAAGTTTAGTTGACAACTACTAATGTAATATTAGACGAGTAAATAAGTTTTTCTATCTAATTGGTTTGACAAGCATTAAAGTACTTCAGTGGGCTAAGGAAATAGATAATAATATTTCAACTTGTTCGAAAGAAAATGTTTTTTTTATTAAATATTTTTTAAATATAATACTCACTTTCATAATACTCTTTCACAGTGGGGTGTGTTCGCATGATAATTGTGTTATTTTCCTGCCGATCTAACACCTGCGATATCTCCTCTGACGGATCCATCGATAAATAGTCCTCACTGGCATTCATTGTTCGGCTTTTATACTAAAGGTGGTAAATTCAAACTGGGGCAAGCTGGTGTAATACTTCCTGGTTTTTCTTTTTACAGTACAATACTTCACTTCACATCTTTATCATTGCTCACACTATGCAGGTTAGCTCACTTTACACTTTGATTAGCACTCATAAATGTATCTTAAAGTTTGCATTAGCTGTTATATATTCGCAATGTGGGTGCTGTCGAGAAAAATAGGGAAAACACAAAGAGAGGCGTTATTTATCGCATCAGGTGAAAGTGCAGTATTTGTTGGTAAGTAACTTATTTAAATTCGAGGCAATGCCCTTTACTAGGTTAAATTTGACGCGACTTGTTTTAAGTAATGAGTTATATATTATAATTCACGCTAACCAAATGTCTAGACGAAATATTAATACACTCAATCACGATTCCATTAACTAATTAATGGCGAAAATACTTTTCCTGTTCCCTTATTTTAAAGCTTTTTGTTACACAAACAAAATAAAAACTTTTTATATCAATAATATAAATAATTTTATGTATTTAAGCTTTTTCCTGCTCCTATGAAAATATAAAAAAGTTATATTTAATTTTATTTTACAAAAAGCCATATACAAATATTACAACATTTTCTTTCAATTGTTTCGTTTTATTTTTAAGCACTTACTACTCTTAATAGTTACAATCCCATGCATCTGCAACAAATCTAATTAAAAATTTCATAACAAATTCCATTTACTTAAGCTGTTAAAAGAGCATATCAACATCGTTAGGTTTTTAACTGAAACGTTAAGTTCCAACTAGCCCAGATGTTTTTCAAAAATCCGGGGAGACGAGCACGTGACTGAAGCCTTGGGCGATTGAAGAGAGTTCGGCCAGGTTTTTGAAATTCAAAGAGACCGTGTTGGACTACCAAATATTAAACAGGTTTTCGAAAGCATAGACGGGTAACAGACCGGCCATACTAAAAAAAATTTTACGAGTAGCTTGCCTCATTGCACTGCGCGTTATGTAATCTCTTTGTTATTGTCCATTTCCAAACTGGTTTTATTTTTTGCACAGTAATAACGCATACAATGCCATGTTGAAAGTACCTGTAAACGCACTAAAAACATGATTCAACATCTCACAGCTCCAACAACGACCTTCAGCTCTGATCCAAAAACGTGTCAAAGTCCCCGCGGTCTGACCTCAATTTCGCCTCAGACTTCAACGAAATCCGGCGATGGGGAAGTGAAGCAGAATCATGTCTTATCACCAACAAGCCAGAGATCACAATTTACCATCTGACGATCCAATTTCATCAGCTAACGAAAAGAGAGCACATCCATAATTAATTTACAATATCGCCATAAATCAATTTTTTTCCAGCAATTAGCACGAAATTCGCGGATTCGTTTTGGTGCTTAGCACATTCTAAAATGCGTAAAACAAACCGCGAAAATAAGCGTCACAAATGTAAGCATAAAGTATATATATACTTTTTCCTGGATTTTTTAACAGTTCGCAAATGGATTTGGCACGTTATAAACAGCAAATAAAAATTTTTTAATGTACAACAAAAGCTGAGCTCCAAAACGTGCCAAAAGAGCAGAACAATCAATGGAAATTTTGCATATCAAGTTACACTAAAACCCAATTAAAGACTAAGTTCATTAAACATTTAATTTTTTAATCGAAAACCCACTTTAAAAAAATGTATATTTTTTACGTGGAAAACCCATTTCATAAAAATAAAATTAATGTTGTGAGACTGTCTTTAAAATTGCCACAGAGAATTGTCGAAATGAATTGTAAACATTGGCCCCAACCGAACATTTTTCATTTTGCTGTTGGCACATTAAATGTGGAAACATGGTTAAGCGAGAAACTTCTCTTAAATTTTTTCATTCATATTTATTTCTTACATCTTTTTTGTCATCTTGTGAACGGCCCTGACTCTTATATTTCCGAGCTTTTGCGGGTAACGAATTTTAAATATTTAGACGAGACAAAACGCTGCAAAATGAATGACCAAATACACGACCTTACGCAATGCAAACAAATTGAGCAAAGCGGAAAATGCTTGCAAAAACAAAAATTAAAGTGGACCCATAACGTGAAATCAAATATAAATACAATACAAGTGCAATGTCTGGGAGCAAAAAATCAAAACCAGCACTCAGACCGCAAAATGTTATTTGTTTTATGGTCGACAAACCAAATCATTTCCCTTCTGAAATTCGCAAGAGGAATTTTCGGAAAATGAGTTGTGAATGCAAGCAATTTTCCTGTCTTTTCTCACTAAAGATAGCAATTCATTAGACAATGTGTCGAGTCAAGACATTTCGGAATGCCAGCTATCTAGATACGAATGTAATTATTTTACTTGTACGATAAGATGTTTCAACTCCAATTTATCACACATTTTTCAGTTGAAATGAATTAAACCAAAACAATTTTGTAAATACGCAGAAACCTTTGCGTGAAGTACAAACTTCCATTGAAAAATTCATTTGTGTTCAGTTAATATCTTTTTTAACTGTTTAAAATAATGTCGAATGGCGGTTGGCTAAGGTAAACACTTGTCATACAAGTTAAATAAACTAATATCATTAAAGTTTAATCATTAAACTCTAATTAATTTTCTAAACTACAAATCACTTGTCTAAGGAAATGTTTTAGGAATGGTATAAAGGCTAAGTGTACTTATTATTCTGAAAATATTTTAAGTAATTAAAACCTCGCAGTCAAGCAGTCCTGAAAAGTTGACAGTCATAAGACTTCATTGCATTTTGAAATGTCCTTGACATTGCACTCATTGAATAGTTTATAAGAATTTCAATTAAAGTCAAATGCATTTCAACTTGTCTTTTATTCATTTTGATTGCTTCGGCATCAACAAATGAAAAGAGTAATTATTCATTACATGTTCACACTGCCAGTCGTTCATGTTGCATGCGGTTGTATAATGTAAAGGGTCGATCACGAGTTAAACACATTAAAAGGGGAGAATCAATAAACAATAAAAATACATTGCACTGCAATTGGTTGAATTAATTTTGTTTGATTTTTGCACTTTTCTGTATTTTTATTAGCTGCTTACAGTTTTCACTCTCTCCGCCTTTCTCAGTTATTCAGCTATTTTGTGCACTTTTTTCAGCCGCGTGTGTCTTATTCGCTCGCGCTCTGTTCAACAACTGAAAATGAAACTCAAAATGTTGTAGTGCCCATGCTGATCACGAACGTGAATGCGCCCATCTCAGACCACGGGCTATTTGTCGGCAATATGGCTATATACAAACATACATGTGCAGGTGTGTGTGCGTGTCGGCCAAAACAGAAAATAGCGGTAGCAAAATACAACAAGTGCTGCTGACGCGATGTGCTAATCGTCATTTGTCGATTTCAAACGCTGCTGCTGCTGCTGCTGGGAAAAGTTTTCTTAACACTCGCTCGTTGCGGAAGTTGGTTATTTGCCGATCAATAAGCGTTTACTTTGGCCACCTGAAGTGGTTCAGAAAGAGGCTTGTCCTGCTAACACGTTGGTAAAAGAGTTGCGAAAAATAAATATAACTCTCTGATTGAAAGTAAAAATCAGGTCAAACAAATACAGTTTTCCGAGATTTCACAATTTTTAAAATTTGATAAAAACCAACCTTAAAAACTAGAAAATAATTAAAATTTTTGCATCTAAGAGAATTCTTTAAAATATTTTATCTAAAATGTTATGGCACAATAAACCATATTCTTTAGTGCTCAAACTTCTTAAAGTTTGAACATACTTAACATTGGTCATTAAATTATTCTTTTAAATTATTATATAAAACGTGGGTTTTGCTTTCATTATAATCTATTTCTTACACATTATATATATTATCTAAAGAATCATTGAAAATGTTTAGGGCTTTCTAACCCACAGTGCAATTGAGAAAATTGCAATAGTGTCTTCCGGTCTGGCCAACCCAATTTTCATCGCCATCGAAGAGCACTTAAGCTAAAAGCTAATTTGTATAGAGAAATGCCATCAGATTATCGGAAAGTCCAGAACTTATGGAAACCGCAATAGAAACCTATTAACATGTCCAACCAGGGTATAATTACTTTTTCCATTGCTCGATATATTCTCCAGAGAGTATAAGTCACAGAATATTGCGGTGTGCAGTGAAGTTTCTAATGGCGCATCAATCAACTCATAACTTGCACACCCCCAAGTGGAATTAAAATAATTGAAGCAAGCAGGCAAACTTAAAAATTATCCATACAATTTGATATTCAAATTAAACTCATCAGAAATGCTATTAAGTCGAGTGGACTTCGAGTCCAAAACACAGCCTGAGGCATGGGTATATATAAAAAACGAAAATCTGAGCACATCCGCTTACTAATTAAATGAGCCGACCAATGAACCTTTTTTATCTCTCTTCGCTCTCACTTTTTGTAACCAATCTAAAATTAAATGCTAATTATTCAACCCAAAAATTATGCAATAAATTATGCCTCGAAGGCGAACTGCCAAGTTGGAGCGTTTTTATTGCATAAGCTGCGGCGGTAGGTCGTAAAAAGAAATTATGATGGCAGACCATGCAATTCAACTTATAATTTGCAAATAAATCTAATTGTGTAAAGAGGGTCAGAAGTGATAAGGCCAATTAGAGGAGGAGATCGAAAGGGACAGCATAAGAAGAAAGGGAGAAACAGAAGAACGTTTTGAGGTAGCAAAGTTTACAAACTGATTTAATTTAAGAAATTAAAAGTTATATCTACAAACAAAGAAATATAATGCAAACTTTCGCAACTGTAACTGCTTAGTATATCTAGTATTTTTGAAAGAGGCAATGAATCCTTACAATTTATTTGATTTATTTATATAAATGTAAGTTTAACGAACTAGATTTAATTAATATTAAATATTTAAACCGAATTTAAATTAAATAGAAAGCTATTAAGTCAACTAGAAACTATTACTTATCTAATAATTAAAATGGTTTAATATTAAATCAAGTAATTTAATATGAATTGTATAGAATATTAAGACTTAATTAATTAATTTAAATATTACATATTACATTATGAATTCAAACATTAGTCGGTGTATTTGCAAAACTTATTTATCCGCAACCAATTACATTCCCAAGAGAACTCCATTTGAATACACCGGTAAATGTATATATATTTATGATTTCCTTGAAATTAAGGTTTAAATATAAATAATACTGTGCCATTCAAATAAAAGATGGCATATGCAAAACAAATCTCCACGCCGTCTCATAAATTTCCACGAAAACCCTATGGTAACCCACTCTGAATACCATATTTACTGTCAGAGATGATTGCTTGCCACCATTTGAAACATGCAAGCCCCACTGCAACCTCCAGCATCCGACCTCCTTTGAGTGGCACCTCCTTTGAAGCCATCGTCCTCGGTCTTTAAAGAAAAGATAAAAATTTCAGAGCCCGGGGCGATGCCTTTGAAGGCAACGTCGCCGATTCAGCGCCTTGCCAGATTTCCTTGTCGGTTTTCATTTTCTCGCCACTGTTTATTTGGCCGCCCTTGGGTTTTCTCATGTTTTCCTTATTTTGCTCATTTTTTCGCGCTTGCTTTTACGCAAATAAGCAACAATGCAGCCGCCATTTGAATAACATAGAAAAAGACGTTGAAAGCGAGATGAGAAGCCTGGCCCAGGGCTGACTTAGCGCTCATTTCTTGGGTCTTTATGCTCTCCTGATTCATTCAACTGTCGCTGTTGTTTCAATTTCTGTCCGCACTTTCGTTCCTCCGCTTTTCGCCTGTGTTGTTTGTTGTTTAACGAAGCAAATCAACAAATTGTAATGATGCCAAAGTCCTTTTCTGCGTTGCTTGCACTTTTGCCGCCACCCAACCCCACGCAGATTTTGTTTTGTTTTATTTTTTGTCCCAAATGGCAATCCCCAAACCTTTTCAACCCAAGAAATAACTCTTCGGTAGATTAAGTCGAATTAGGGATACCCGATACTAAAACTTCGTTTCATTTAAGGCACTTGAAAAAACCACCACCACAATTTAACAGATGTAAAAGTAATAACAATCAAAATAAAACTTATGGACAACAGTTTCAGACTCTTCGGTATGGAAATTAAACTAAAAAGTATAGGGGCTATATTATCTTGTATTGAATTAATGCTTAAAATTAAAAACTGTCTGTAGTTTATTTTTAAAACACACTTACTAAAACTAATCTTTCAGTTTACTTTTGGAGTAGACAATAACCTTATTTTTAAATAAAAATAGTTTTCTGAATAGAATTATTAGTAATTTATTTTGATAGATTAATAAAGTTTTTTAAAAATACAAAATGAATAATTATCTTGATTGTTTCAATTAGCAATTATAAAATGATCATCTAATATGATAGTGCCACAAAGAACTGCCTTACATTTTAAGACGATAGATTGGTAGAAATTAACTGTCATATTATTGAAGGGATCGCTTCTCTCTGTCCGTTGCCTAAGTTAATTAAAAACAATACAGCCTACGAATAAAGGGTATCAAAACCCTTGGCCCGAAACCCGCATTGGCAGCCCTTTTTTGCATGGTGCGCTCCACTTGAGCCGCAGTGGGGCGTAAAATGAATTGAGACATTCGGGTCTGGCATAGAAAAACCCGAATTCTTAGCCCCAAAAACCGCAGAGGTTGGTCCTTCGCCAACAACTGCTGGCCATTGCACAAAAGTGACAAAACTTTTGCACTCCGTTGTGCATTCAGGTGTGAAGTTTTTGGTCGGCGCACACAAAAGTATGCTACAAATAATTAAATCATGCAAAGCCTTTTGTTTGTTGTTGTGTTCGAGTGGGTCGATTGGTTGGCGGGAAAAAGAGAGGGAATTGGCCGGAAACACTCGCTCTTTCTCCCTCTCGGCTAGACAAGTTCAATGTCGCCTTAAGGTCCTTGTCAGCCTGTCAACTAGTTTGATATTAACTAATCGATATTTCTATTCCCCGCCTCGCTGCTCCTTCTTGATTTTTTAAACCATCCCACTTTTTTTTTTTCTTTCTTCTGTTTGCCATGAATTGAAATTTGCATATGACACAGACACAGTGGACACACAAAAACAAGAAGAAGTATGCCAGTAAGAACATTGAACCAAGGCCGAAATGAAATCGCCAAAGGCAAAAACACGCTGGCCTCTTCCATCATGCTGGTTTACTTTTTGCCCTGCGATGGCCGGCATTTCCGTTTCCGTTCAAAACGCATACAGAAACGATGAATTGCAGAGCCAGAGGCAAATGTGCAACTTAAATAATTTGTTTTTTAAGTGAACTCTTCGTTTTCCGGTATTTTCTGAATGTAAATTGAATCAATTGAATCTGTTATTTGAAAACATTGCAACAAATCAAAACCTAAAAATTACTCTATAAATATTTTTTAGAAAACAAAACTAAAACAAATGTATGACTTGCTTTTATTTTAATTTTAATTTAAGAGTAAAAGTAAAGCAATAAGAAAGGGAAGCTTTTTACACTCTTTATTTGATTTGGTACTCTAATTCTTGCTATTGTTAAACTCAATAAAAAAGACTTACAATTTCCAAGCTTGTGTGTTCTTATATATTAGATCTTGAAAAATCGAAAAAAAGGGAATCGTAAAACTGGTCAAACATTCAACCATCGAAAGTACCAATTCGTAACAGCCAAGACCAAAACTCACATCTAGATAAATCCAAGTTTATTTGCCCGACTGCTAGTGGCTACTGCACGTTTGCCAGCCATTTTTCCTCCGCTTTTTTGGCAGTCACTGTTTGCTCTTCGCACCTGCATAATTTATAAGCGGGAAATCATTTGCATGCAGTTTTTCTTGCACTTTGTTTGACTCCGTTTTTTTTTCCCAGGAAGCATGAAACACAAACTGCCAAGAATGTGAAAGGTTTGTGTTTGACTTTAGCTTCGATATGTTGCACTTAAAACAATTGACGGCAAACAGAGGGCAAAGAATCCAGTGATTTGGTCGAAACAAGTAAATTGGTCGAAATTTCGCTCTTTCGCTCGTTTTGTTGGTTCGCTCGCAAAAGGAAAAGCGGAAAAGCTCTTCGGGAAAAGCTCCACTCGGGATTTCCTTATAAACGGAGCGCACTGATAAAAACTCGAACAGTTACCGATTCGGACGCGTAACGATAGCAGCAAAATCCGAGTGCTGCCATCGTAGTCACAACCAAACCAAAAACAACAATAACGAACCCAAGAAAATCCAAAAAAGATACGAAATTCTCAACACAATTCGCCGGTAAAGTGTGTGAATAAACAAATAGGATATGCAATTATTTGTAAGTGGGAAAAAACAGAAACAATTGCAAGCAAACAGCATGTGTTGTCCCAGTGCAAAGTGTGATAACTAAGCAAACTTTATAATTGGTGAATTTAAAAATTGAAGCTCAAGGAACAAGGTAAGGCAAAAGAAAAGTTAAGAACTGTAATTAATAAAGACTGTTGCAGATTAAAAAAATAGCTTGAAAAATGGTAGGGCTAATTGCAAAGGATTTTATTTAGCGAAGGCAGAAAAAGTTTTAATGCTAAGCAGCATGATGAGATAAAACTAAACAGATGGTTGTTCAAAAAAATAAAGGTAAATTTTAAGAATAAGCTAAAGCCATTTGCTGAAATAAGGCTATCAGAAAGGCTAATCTAGACAAAACGAAGTATTTTTAAGAATTTTGCAATAAAGAGTACCTAATATTAACAGTCGATTATTAAATTTTAAATGGTATAGTTTAATTGAACAATTCCAGCTAAATTTCTCAATTTCCAATTTATATGCTGATATTATTGCTTTCATGGAATTTAGGTATTAATTCTCCTCCAAAATTCCGCGAAGCTCACCGGAATCACATACAGAAATCACTCAAAAAATGTTTTATTTCGGCTGCCTCCATTTCACAAAAAAAAGGCATGAAAGTCCCAGGGGAAGTGGCAATTTAGCGGCAGTTTGTACCCAGACAACCTTTAAAGCCCCTTTTCAGACTGCCTTTTACCCGCTCCAAAATTAGTCTTCCGAGTTTTCCAGCCACTGTTAGCCTGGTGGTACGTCTGGGCTTAAGTTAAGCACACAGGAGCAGCGTCGGGTTAAAAAAATAAATTCGGAGGAAGAAAAATAAAAGCGATGCTCAAGTGGCACAGCGCTTAACACAAATTAGACGCACTTAATTACAGCGCAAACAGTCACAAGGAGCGGTTGTAAAATATGCACAAAAAATATATAATAAAAACCACAACCAAATATATTTAAGCAGTTTGCTAGGGCAGAATGGTTGAATGAGTGGCTGTGGAAGACTGTGGGAAGGAGACTTTCAATTTCGGGCATTCAGAAGTTGCGGCTTAAAACTCAATTAAACGAATTGGAAATTTAATTACAATTTCAGTTTCGTTTTCGTTTTAAAGGAGATTGCCACGGACCCCAAAGACTAAAGAAAAGGCTAGAGGATAAATTTAGGATGAATGGAAGTGGAGTCTGAATGAGGATGGACATGGAAGAGGGCAAATTGTTTTGCCAGCTGTTGGCAAAGTTTATAAAAAACTAATAGTAATTTAAACTGAAAACAATTAACTGCACTTATGAGAGGCAGCAGAATGCAAAAGGTTAACCTTAATTACAAAATTCATGGTGCAGAGAACTATTTGAAATGTGTTAGTTTGGCTATACTTTCAATGAAATGCATTATATGGGAAAATGAAAAATTTAATTTTCAGGAAAGTATGCTAGGGAAATATTTATGTGCTTAACCCTTCTATGTATTTGATTGAATGTTAATTTTTACTTGTATGCATTTTAATGTTTAGAAAATAATTTTCTTTTTTTAATTTTTGGTTAATATTGAATTGTATATTTTAAATATTCTCAGCTTACAATTTGTTCATTTTTGAGCTTAATATTGCTAATTGGCAGTTTTAGTCCCACCAACTTCTGAAGCAGCCCATGAATATTTGCCAACAAAGTTTTCCAGCCCCAAAGCTCAACCCTTCTGCTAATGCCAACAACTTCGGCAACAACAACAGCTATTTCCAGTTCCGCTGCGCCCAAACTTAGCCACGTTTTATCTCCCAAACAATGGGCTCATTAGTGGAACAGCCACGCCAACACCCAACGAACCATTCAAATGCCACGCCTCTTTGGCAAAACTTTTCTTAATATTAACGTAGGGTTCCGCAAAAAATACATAAAATAATATTTTCGTTCCCGGCTTTAGCGGCAATTAATTCGGGTAGGGGAAACTTTAATGACCAGGAAAATCCCCAGAAAATCTACGCCCTTTGCCATAATTGGAAATGAAAATATTTATTGAATTATTCAGGGCGAAAATGTAATGCGTCAGATATTACAAGTTCGGCAATGAACTCCTATTAAGGAAGAATTAATTGAAGGCAAGGCTTAAGCCCGGAAACTATTACCAAAGAGCGTTAGGATGGGATCCTGGGACCGAAAACTTTTCCATCAACTCAAGAGTTGGCCCATCAATTGCAGTTTTCAAGTAGCGACAAAGTAGCGCACAATGAATATGCAAAATACTCCTTTCGTATAGACTCGACTGTCAACTCTTGGAAGTTCCTGCCTTCCCTTTTCAGCTGCTCCTGAAACAAGTAATTCCACTTTATTTAAGTTTTTTTTCTTATTTTACAATAAACCGCTTTCGACCAGAAACGGATGCCAATGCGTTTAACTTTAGTTCAGTTCAGTTAAGTACAAAAAAATGAGGGCAAACTGTTCAAAAATGGAAATCAAGAAAAATGCTTTGCGCGTTTTCAACTCTATTTATTTTTTTCTTTCGGGCACTAATAAAAGTAGCGTGCGAAAGTTTTGTCCGCTGCACTTCTTCGCACTTAAGTGCAAATCGCACTCGCAAGACTCACTGCGTTCTTGAACAATGAAATGGGTTCAAAATGTCCTTGACAGGGAATCGAAATTGAGTCAGTGTGCTCAAAAAATAAATGCATTTTGCATTCAATTTAACAAAGAGTTTGTAGTGCTATAAATTTAAAAGTAAAACGAATTAAACGCCTAATAATATTAAAGTGCAGCAACATCAAGAGAAATTTATTTGTGATGTTTTCAAGTTAAACACCAACAGGAAATTTTTCGAAATATTTTCTAGTTGTTCTTTTCACATTAATAAACTCCGGTTTTTATGGGTATATGTCTAAAGACAGTACAATTATTTTTAAGTTTTCTGGATTTTATAGTCGTCCGATCCGGTTTGCTTCGACTTGTAGTCTACATGCAACAGAGAGACAACTTTTGGGAAAGTTTCACTGTGTTTAAACTTTTGAATGAAATTATAATACCCTCTGCGAGGGTATAAAAATGAGCTGAAGCTTCCCAATATATTTTTTATTGCGGATTCCACTTCTTATAGTTTTATGAACTTAAAAAAAACTATAAAGAACCCAGCAGCAAAATAACCAGCGAAAGTGTCGAGATCTTAACTTTTGACAGCACTTTGCACACTTAACTTTGCCAAACTCCTGCAGTGCTACGGGCGTTGCGCATACGCCGCGTATGACCAGCTCAAAACGGACTTTGGCTGACACAAAGAGCAATAAACAAAATAACACCGGCGATGAAATGCAAAACAATAAATAATGAGATTAAAATCTAGGCAACGGAATGTAGTCTGGGGGCACCCCTCAAATAGAGTCCTTCAAAATTAAGGAAATTAAATATTTACGTATGAAAGCAGTCGAGGAAATTACGCATTGTAAGGTATAAAAAGAAAAAAAACTGAAATGCTGCCCAGGGAAAGAATAAGAGGGCGAAGGTCCTGGCTTACTACAACACCCCCTAAGGCGAGGCATTACTTTGTCCTTGCTCTCCACACTCACACACACACACTCACTCACAATCACACACACGCCACGGCCATTAATTTATTTTTATGCCAGGCATAATCTTTTCTGCTTGCGGTATTTTGTTTGTATTCATTTGCATCTTCTACCCAACTCCACGGTCGAAAAAATTGCGCATCATACACCATCCCATCGATAGTGTGCCACATTTCTTGCGTGGCGACAAACCAGAGAAACAAAAGCCAAATAAAAGAAAAAGGCCAAGACAAACACTTAAGAAAAATGTTTCGAAAAGGTCTTTGTCATATATAAACTTTTGTATTAAAAATGTTTATTATAGTTTTAAGAAATTTGTCAAATAAATAAGGAACAAGTTTTACAGATAAAAATAGTACCTTTGTTTATCTTCTCAGAGTTAATTTTTTTATCATTTTAATATTTACCAGCAATATGTTTCTTATCAATATATTGTGTTTTCATGTGACAAGATAATAATGAGGACATTCACTTGCACTGATTAACTGATAAAGCATAAAACAATAATTCTGATATCAGTGCCACTTATAAGCAAAAAGCGCAATAAATAACTAAAGAGTAATAAATAATATCAATAAAATAGATATGTGATTTGAGCTTATATACCCACATTATAATAATCTTAATAAAATTTAAGTGATTCAATGAATTTACAATTTTTCTCTGTGCAATAACGAGTCGAAATGGGAGATGAGAGGCAGAATTGACGTCTTTAATGATTGCCTTTGCCCACAAAGAAGCTGAAAGCAAGAGAATGGGAACCGGGGAGTCCGGAGGTGCGGATCTGGAAAAAACCAAAAATCTTCCTCTTGGGCATACAGCCGAAGCTACCCCTCCAACCCATCCCACCCCCAATCCCCCTTCCCTTCTCATCTTCATTCAATATCTCTGTGTATATTTCGGCTTGTGAGCCATTTGAATACGTATGCATACTTAATTTGCCACGGCTTTGCCTCTGGTTTTGGCCGTACTCAAAGGGCGTGGGCGGAGAGGGAAATGCGGGGAAAGCCGGATACGGCGAATGGCATACTACATTATTGATTGGATATTTGTGCGGGAATTTAATAAAATATGCAAATTCCCCTTTTTTTTGCTACTCCGCACTCAATCGGAAGGCGAGACGAGCCTCAGTCAACGATTGAATGGCTCTTCAACTGGACAGGATTCAAGAGGTCCCAAATGTGGAAGGATGTGCCAGTCGAAGAGTTTTGGGATTAATTAAGAATCACTGGATATTCCAGAAAAGGTCATGGATGGCACTCCCACTCAAAAATCTTAAGTGCCAATTTATAGGTTACAAAGTAAATCAAAATCAATAAAAGATTTGATTTACTGTAAGCAGTTTGAATGGTTTTCTAGCTTTACATTTCAAATTGTAGACAAAACTGAATCAATTATTATTCATAAAATTGTTTGAAGGCCAATCTCATTACTTAAAAACCCTTTTAAATGTACCTTGATATAATTCTTTTAAGTTATAATTCTTTAAACGACACGGCAATTAGAAACCAAATCTAACATAAAAAACCTTTACCTACATGTACATTTAAAAGAGTCTCCCCATCGTGTTGAA